CTATATCCTGAGAGTAGTACATGAGCCAGATAATCTGTGAAAAAAAATCTGGTTCCACTAATAATGGCATTTGTAAGAATCCACCGGGCCTGAATGATAACAACCAATCAGAAATATAGATGATTGTGTCTTGTTACAATGTCCTCACTGATGCTTTGGTTCCCAAAGTTTCAAGCCACCAGCCCAAACATCTGTATTTTGGCAAATTCCATAAGGAACCAGATTAAAGGAAGAGCCAGATTAAACAGATTTTTTTCCTGATTCACATGTACTACTGTCAGAAGTAAAAAGTAAAGTAGTGAAAGATTCAGCAAATATGAAAAAAAAGAATATTCATAAAAAGTTACCTACTGCAGCTTTAAAGAGCAAAATGATACCCGAGGGGACAGCATCAAAGACAATCACACACCTGTGACACATCTTATGAGGGACTCCTGCTGCCTCTCCAGAGTAGTAGCCAGGAATGCAGGTCTGCACACACCTCCACTCCTGCTGCAGGTAGTCCTCAGCACACTGGATACACTCCTCCTTACCTGGCCCTGGGACATATAGAGCTTAATGTCATGCAAGATGAAAACTTCCAGGTCACATTATTAGGAACACATAGCTTGGAAAAACCCAACTATATTCATGTCTGTCTATACCTGAATCTCTTCAAATTTGTCTGTTAGGCCACAGGTCTTGTTTACCTCAGGTTTCTAAATCAGCATTTACCTTATGACTAAGAAGTTTTATTTCTGCTGCCACTGTACAAACCTGGTAGACACACTGACCTGTACAAGTCCTACAAGAGGAATGGCACGGGCTGCATGTCATCTCTTCCAGATGGAAAAAGGTTCCGTTGGTGCATTCAGGAACACAAGTCATCCCCGCCAGACTATAAAAAAAAAAAACGAGATTACAATACGTAGTTTTAAACCAAAGTTCAAGTATAGATGGCTAACTGTCCTTACATACCTGTACCCTTCTCTGCAGGCACTGCATCTGTCTGCATACCTCAGGCATCTCATACAAGGCTCAAGGCACTTCAGACACTGTCTCTGATCTGACGCAGACAGCATGCACAAGCATCAGTAAAGTGGGAATAACAAAATAAGGTCTTCTTGATTTCTAATATGTATGCATTTTCTTCCCCATAAGACATTTGCAAAGCCACATTTTTTATTATTTTGCACTGTTTACATCATTGCCTGATGCCAGTGCCTGCGTGGGTCGATTATCCATGAACATTTTCTGACCTTAACTATGTCACTCCTCATGTCTAAACCTAACCGACGGCAACAAACACCAGCCAATCAGAGGCAGAGTAGGGCGGGTTTTCCCAGAATTCTGGTGGGCCAAAAAAAATAATCATGCGGGCATTCAGAGGTGCGTACCTAGACTCATCAGGAAGCGGCAGTACACAATAGGGGTACTCACACAACATCGAACACTGTCAGTCAGTTGGATAGCGTAAGAAGGATTCACAAATAAAAAGCATTGCTCCATAGCGACCAATAGTCAAAAACTCCATTCCAAGTTTCTATAGTGGGTGCTCCAGTCCTTCAGTTTAAGTAAGTGGTTCTCTGATTAAAGTTGCTTTTGAATGAGTAATCTTGGAAGTTGCTTCAAAACATGTTTCCAGGAGTGTTTATATATATATTTTTTGCTACATAAAGGTTGAAAAATGAATGCCAATGAATGTGTGTGTGTGTGTGTGTGTGTGTGTGTGTGTGTGTGGTGGACGTGGCATCGATCTCTATCCTCTGGGTCCTGATTCTTCACTCCTGCTCAAAGCTGTACCTGAAGCCCATCTACTAATAAACCCTGCAGTCTGCTGCGGCTCTCTTTGTCGCCAGATTGCTAAATCACCAACAGTGGTAGTATGGGCTTCAGGCCTCTAGAATTGTGTGTTCTAGTTCCGTTGTTCTTGTTAACTTGTTGATTCACTAACCCTGCTTCTCTGTGTGCCTCAGATCATTTTGCCTGCCCGCAACTACATCGCCACTAAATCCTACACACTGGACTTTTTTAATAGATTTTTTTTCTTAAATGAAAATGACAAAAAACACCATATTTTTGCTGATGTGAAACACCACTGCGTCATTAGGCCCCTTTTATATACACTGAACGAAATTATAAACGCAACACTTTTGTTTTGAAAACCACATTCATCATGAGCTGAACTCAAAGATCTAATACTTTCTCTATGTACACAAAAGGCCTATTTCTCTCAAATATTGTTCCCAAATCTGTCAAAATCTGTGTTAGTGAGCACTCCTTTGCCGAGATAATCCATCCACCTCACAGGTGTGACATATCAATGATGCTGATCAGACAGCATGGGTATTGTACAGGTATGAGTAGATGAGTGACTTGAGTGGATTGGGGCTTGTTTTACAGTTGTATATTTCCACATTATAACTTTAGTAGTTTACATTTTAATCTTCAGCCATTTCTTTTTACATCGTATATTTGAATGAATAAATATGGAACAGAAACATTATAAGTTTGAGAGACAGTTTCAGAGCGTTTTAGGGAGGGGAGTAAAAGTGTGTAATATCCAAACATCTAAACTATGATACCAGCAATAACCACACACTCTCCCAACACATTCATGGGTCTACAGTGAATGTATTGACTTACTCTCATCAGCAAAGTACCCTGGGGGGCAGGTATCAGTGCAGCTGGAGTTGAGTATGTTGAGGTAAAAGCCTCTTCGACAGGAGAGGCAATCGCCAGCTGATCGCGCAGCACATCTCTCACAACCTTTATAACAGTGTCCACAGCGACGAGACACTATGTCCTCGTAGTATCCCAGCGGACAGTGGCTGACACAAGTTCTACATAACACGCACACACACACACAC